AAATTGGGGTGGTGCCATCTGACAAGTTATAGCCATGGGTGGTTCTATTGAACACAGAACAATATAATCCTCCATTTTTGTTTCTTTCCTTTTTTACGACCTTCGAGCGGTGGAATTTGGAGTAGGTGAGGTGTTACTGCGGTAAAATTGTTCAGCAATGTTTCATTAGGGATAACTTGTGAACTACAGATTATATCATTCTCGAGAATGATAAATATTAAAGGATTAAGATTTTGAGTGGGCCACTAAAATATTGCTTCAGGGAAAAAAAATGTAGTACATGATTTGTTCTATTTTTCTTTTTGATGTATTTTTATGGTATCACGACTCAGCCTTTGTTTTGATTTATACCACTTGTGGACAATAGTTCTACGATGATCTTTCGAGAGAATGATTTGCTTTTTAGCTAACCATCTGAAATAATGCTAGATCTTCTACAACAGGGAATAAAACAAGGTTAGCTGAATCACTAGTTTGGGAAGAAATAGCGGAATTGGTACCTTTACTTTTTCGGTACAATAACAATTACTTGGGGTAGAACAAAGGGTTAAATTGTTGACCTTTGTGTTTGTATCGAAAAATATTATATTACAGAATCTCTTGAATAATAATTTCTTTTGATTTGCTAAGCCTGAGCCAAAACTATCACTTTAGCATGCGTCTGCAGGGGTGAAAATAAAAGGCCCTGTTGCTAATACTTTAAGCCACAACTAAATGAAACAATGATCCAACAAATAGCGACTATATATCGTTGCTAATATCTTCTTCATGTTGTTGCATTTTTGGAACCATGTTGATTTTGGAAACATTTTTTTTCTATTAATGGCCTTATTTGAAAAATTAACATTCATTGCTGTATTATATAGTTTAATATTAACATAGCCATTGGATCATCTTATTAATACAGATAAATACATAAGCGGGACAGGAAAATAGGTTGATGGTGTATTTGCACCAGCTTACTGTCTTGTTAACTATTATGAATTAGAAATACAGTTTCTTCCATTATAGTTCGATTGACCGACATGATTAATGCTATCCATGTTGTCGACACATGTTTTAGCTATCCGAGTTTGTTTATTTATTTATTTATTTATTTATTTTTTTCGCTTGATGCTTGGGCTTTCTCCCTTATTCATTACATGTTCCCATTTGAAGTATTTCAAATGATAACTGCAAATACCAATGATATAATATCGAATCATGTACAGCACATAAATTTCAAAATCTGTTTTATCTGTAGCAAATCCATTCACATAAGTTTTGCGCGAGAGCCAATCTAATTAATTACGTAGCTTTATTACCGCTGTCGATTTGTTTGCTGAGTTATTCACAAATTTGCATTTTAATTTGTGTTCCATGTATTTACTTCCCAGATGATAGAAAGGGCCATCCGTGAGCTGAATGAGAAACGGGGCTCCAATGAGGACGCCATATCACGTTTTCTGGTTAAGGAGTATGATAATCTACCATGGGCTCACCCAGCAGTATTGAAACACCATCTGGGAACCCTCTGCAGATCTGGTGATATTGTCTGTACAAATAAAAAACGATACCGGCTCCCCGGCCAAACCGAAGTTCCCATTATAAATTCCCAGAGTACGAAAAAAGTCGAGCGAAAGCCACCGAGGAGTAAAAAGCGGTTGAAATGGGACTGGGAGAGAGTGAAAAAGAAGAGGTTGAATAGAAAGCCAGCGCTCAAGCTGAAAATCAATTTGAGGGGTAAAAAAATCGAAGCAATCGCCGAAAGTCAAGAACACAACGAGAAAGAAGAGCGAGTAACTGAAGAAAATGTTGGAAATGTGGCTTCCATTCCTGACGTGGACTTGAATTCTCAGCAGCAAACTGTGGTGGGCCCACCTGAAATTATCGAGCCTGGTGCCAGCTGTACACCCACACATGAGCATCCTGGTTTGCATAAACCCGTTGACTTGAATTATCGACAACAAACTGAGAAAAACTTCAATTCTCAGCAGCAAGGAATTAGGTCGTCTGAAATTATGGGGTCAGATGGTCATCAGCCCGAATTGGAGAAACCTAGTGACTTGAATTCTCGGCAAAAAACTGACAAAAACTTCGATTCTCAGCAGCACAGAATTGGCCAGCTCGAAATAATAGGGCCTGATGCCAGCTCAGCATGCACAGACGTGCAGCCTGAGTTACAAAACCCTGAGGATTCGAATTCTCAGCAGCAAGCAATTGGCATGCCGGAAATTACAGACCCTTCTGCTTCTGATGCAGCCCGATTGGAGAATATGTCTGATTTGGGCCTTGCACGGGCGGGCCCAATGTCTTCCGAGGAACTACTAATCTCCGATCGCGCGCGTAGACAGCAAAGACGTTGGAGTATGTGCCAACGCGAAAGAAAATCCTTAGTAGTGATGACTTCTATGGAACTCGTGACCTGTCAAAATGAAGAGGAAAACTTTTCGCTGGACTCGAGTCAGTTAAGCATGCAAAAGGATCATGAAAGCAAAGTGAAGTCAAACGGAGAAAATGGCAGCTCAGCACTCACAGATGAGCAGCCCGAATTGCAGAAACCAGAGGACTTGAATTCTCAGCAGCTAGCAATTGGGCCGCCTGAAATTACAGAGCCCGAAGCCACCGTTTGCATGCAGTCCAAACACATCAGGCCTGATATTCGGGACCCTCTGGGCCCAGAACCAGCCCGATTCGAGTACCCTACTAATTTGGGCCCAGTGCTGGCGGATTCTATAGCGTCCGAGGAATTAGTTGACTCCGAGCGCGCGCGCAGACAGCAAAGACGTTGGAATATGAGTCGGCCCCCCAAAAAAGCCACTTTTACGGAATTAGCGATTTCACAAAATCCAGACGAAAATCATTCGCTCAGTTCAAATCTTGTAAGTATGTTGGAGCAAAAGGATCATGAAAATAACGTGAAGTCGAACAGAGGCGAGAAAAACAGTCGGAAAAGGAAAAGGAAGCCTGGGCAACCGAAATCCATAGAGACACAATGCGATTTGCTCACTTTACCCATTTCGACAAATCAGGAGGCGCCAGCTCAGCAGGAGGCGGTTTTCCAAAAGGAGCCGCGCAGGAGTCTAAGGCTCCGTTTGGCGCAACCTGAAGTCAATTACGAGGCAAATGTTGTGCTCGCACTGCCGTCACAGGATTTGGGGGAAAAAGTCGAAGAAGGGCTATTTGAGCCATTAAATAAAATGCCCGTTAATGGGTTAGATGAGGAGACGATATTGATGAGTTTAACTGATAAAACTTTAACTTCTGCAGTGAGCTCGATTAACTGCACGGGTCTCGGTGGAGTTCCTAAGCATCGGGGCCGGGGGAGACTGACTAGGCTCAATGCTGGCTTAACCCAAGCAGCTTGATGAATCATGACGAATTTGATTGATGTATTCTTTTTTAGTTCATTTAATAAATTTTCTGATGGTTTGAGTTTTTCTTCTTTTTTTATTCAGTATTTAGTGCTGCCAAATTTTTATTGTTATTGCTTGGCCGGCCATGCATATATAGTTAGTGTAGTGTAGATGCTGTTTTCCAGTGGATTATTGCTTAGTTTGGTTTAAAACGGTGATGGCTTTGTGAGGATGAATTCATTCTGGTGATTTGAGACATGTCAAACTGTGATAGCTACTTATGGTTTGCTTTGGTGCATTTGTGTTCGGTTATAGCAAAAGCGCACCGGAAAAAAGATGTGAAAAATAAACGAACCAAACCGTATCATGCCGAACTGTTGAATCAAATTGCATGATTCGACTTGATTTTTCAATTTCGGCTCATTTTTCTTCGCCCGTAATGTCTCCCTTTAACCATACCATAATTTTTCAAACATTATCTAAAACGAATACTCGAACCAGCTTCTCAAAAGTACTTCCCCCAGTCGGATACACAGTAAAATGAACGTATGCTCCTGTATAATTAGGGGCTGAGGTTCTTTCGTTTAAAAGAAAATAATTATTACTTATTTATTTATTTTTGATAGGGCTATTAGTATCGACCCGGTCAACCGGATAAAGACCCATAAAATCGGGGTCAAACGAACCTTAAAAACCGAAATTGATAGTCACGGGCCGACCGGCTCAAGGGACGACCATTAACTCGCAGGTCGACCGACTGAAGGGTCAACCGTTGACTCTTGGCTCGACTGGGCGAAATGATCAAATATTGACCGTTGGGGTCGATTGGCTAGGGGCGGCCAAGCCCTGGCCCTCGGGCCGACGTGTGACGCCCGCAAGGGCTCAAAGGGTCGAACATCACCCCTCGGGTCGACATGTAATAGCCATAAGGCGGGGGTCAAAGGTTAATTCATAGGTCAAGTGTCGATTAAGTTACTCGCGGTCAACATATGTTCGGAGACTTATGACCCGAAGGGAAGACCGTGCAATTAGTCACTAGGGTAAATTCCACATTCAGAATGTAAGATTCATTTATTGTTATCACCGTTACATTTATTATGCATTATTCTTCGATTCCGAGATATTAACTTGGGCGTCGGAGGGTCTTGCGCCAGAGCAATTTCGGCGCTTTTCAGGTACCGCCGAGCTTACGGACGTGAACCAAACCGAACCGATAGATCCACGTTCAAATCAGAGAGGACCTTTCAGAAGACCGGAGCCATTTATCTCGGACCATATCAATTTCCATATTATTTCCGTGTATACATTCATATGGATAGAGATTAGTATTAGAAGTATTCAACTTTTATGGTGTGTTGGATCAAAGGTAGGCTGAAAAGTAGGGTAGTTTTGGATAATCTTAATTACTTGTCATGTCTGAAGCATAACAATATATAACCATAGAATGTGTCAAACATTCTATTATGTCCTTTCGTATGTTGTTAATTAAGCCTATTCAATTAACAACATAGAACTCTTTCTTATTTGGAGGGACACTCAAATTTAGGCATTTTATTCAGGAATCCGTCCTGGTTCGCTTTCTGGATCAATTTATTCAAAATGATTCATTTCTTCACCGAATATGGAGAGGCGAACCTGTACGAGATCCAAGAGGTTATCGGCAGGGGAAGCTATGGTGTCGTTGCGGCAGCTGTCGATACCCATACGGGCCGAAGAGTGGCCATTAAGAAGATCACAAACATTTTCGAGCACGTGTTGGAGGCCACCCGCATTCTTCGGGAGATAAAGATCCTCCGCCTGCTCACCCACCGCGATATCGTGGAGATCAAGCATATCATGCTGCCTCCATGCAAGAGAGAGTTTAAGGACATATACGTCGTGTTTGAGCTCATGGAGACCGACCTGCATCACGTCATTCAGACCAATCGTGACTTGACGCCTGGACATCATCAGTTCTTTCTCTATCAGTTGCTTCGTGGTTTGAAGTACATGCACTCAGGCAAGTCCCGAGTTTTCCGCTAATATATTTGCTTTTTGCTTCACTTGTTTTTATTTTATTTTGTTTCGTTTTTGCTTTTTTCCTCTCGTTTGCAGCGAATGTTTTGCATCGGGATTTGAAGCCTAAGAACATTCTTGCGAATGCCGATTGCAAGTTGAAGATTTGTGATTTCGGTCTGGCTCGTCCGTCGTTTAGTGATGCCTCGTCTGTTGTTTTTTGGACTGTACGTTGTTATGTTTATATTTTAAGGAGCAATATATATATACATTAGTTAAGTATTCATGTTTGGAGTATTTTTTTTCGGTTACGAAACATGTTGATTCGTATAGGATTATGTGGCCACTCGGTGGTATCGTGCTCCTGAGCTTTGCGGTTCCTTCTTTTCAAGAGTAAGTTACCACATAATCTGGCATTTTTATGTGTGCCTGCATGTAAAAAGATGAATTTTCTTGTGCTTTTGATTGCATCTCAAAAAAATAATGTTTAGATCTTTTTTGTGGTTTTTAGTATACACCTGCAATTGATATCTGGAGCATAGGGTGCATATTTGCAGAGATACTTACCGGCAAACCATTATTTCCCGGCAAAAACGCAATTCATCAATTGGAGCTCATAACCGATCTTCTTGGTTCGCCTACTTCCGAAACTATTTCAAGGGTTTGTTCCTCTCATCACAACATAAAATAAACTTGTATCACATACTATAATTCAGTTAATTTAAAACTTATTAGCTCTTCTTTTCTTGCAGATTCGAAACGAAAAAGCAAGAAGATTTTTGAGTAGCATGAGAACAAAAATGCCGATACCTCTGTCTCAAAAGTTCCCAAATATCGACCCAAAGGCCATCCGTTTGCTCGAGCGTCTACTTGCTTTCGACCCTAAACACCGTCCTTCGGCTGAAGAAGTAATTATTCCGAATAAAAGCAACAAAATACAATAGCGTATTTGTATTATTTAATGTTACCGAAAAACTTTGTCTCCATAATAGGCACTGGCTGATCCATACTTTTACGGGCTGGCTAATATAAAGGACGAGCCCTCGACCCAACAGATTTCGAAATTCGATTTCTTGTTCGATAAGAAGAAGTTAACTAAAGATGACATGAGGGAACTCATATACAGAGAGGTTTTGTTCTGTTCTTCACTCACATCACACTTTGTTGTTAAAATAATGATCTTTCTACAATTGTTATAACATTAGTTGTTAGTTACTAACAAAGTAAGAAAAAAGCAGATATTGGAGTATCATCCACGGATGCGCGAGGAGTACCTCTGCGGCGCGGACCAGGCTCACTTTATGTACCCAAGGTCTGCAAAATCGAATTTTTAGTTCACAATATTTCATTAAAAAAAATTCGATGCTAATAATTTCTCGAATATTTTTCGATCATTCAATTTGTCATTACGTTTACAGTGGACTCGACCATTTTAAGCAACAATTTGTCCACCTACAAGAATACGACGATCGAAATCCTTGGCTCAGGCGCTATTTCTCATTGCCAAGGTACGTAGAATTATAAGTACTATTATATAATAGCACCTTTGGGTTTTTGCTCAATTTCGAAAATAACAAAAAGTATATGCTTTTTTGTATATATCTTGCAGAGAACGCGTTTGTTCCTCTATAGACGAGGATTCGAACGAACGCAATAAAGATCAAAAAACGATTGATATTCGGCGCCCAAGCCTTATTCCGTATCCCAAGAAGCAATCAGATGTTATTACGAGTGTCCATAATTTGAAGGGAAA